TCAATTTATTTTTTTCTTTTGGGTACCGGGGATCCAACTCAGGTCCTTGCGCTTGTGAGGCAGGTGGTGGCACCACTGAGCTAAATCTCCAGCCCTTTGTATTTATTTCTAAATATTCAAAATAGAGCAAAATAGATTCTTGAAAAGAATTTATGTGATCCTTTCCAAAACCATTTCAATTCTCCTGGAAATCTAGTTTGCCTTCTTATTTTTTAATACTTTTTTTCTTTTGAAGATAATTTCAGAAAAATTCTCTGAAATATTGCAGGCATAGTACACAGAACTTTTTTTTTTTTACTGAGTAGTTTGAGAGTAATTTACTAACATGATATGCCATTACCCTTGAATACTTTATTATTTAATTATTTTCATTACAACCATTGAAATAATACATTATCATTTAATTTCAGATCTCATTCAAGTTTTGCCAGTTACCCCAGTAATGTCTTTTATAGCCAAAGGATTCAGCTTAGAATCACACAGTGTGTTTATCATGTGTTCTTAGTTTTCCAGCCCTCTGACTATCTTAATTCAGATTATTTTCAAGATTACAGACCAATAATTTTGTTGAATAACTCCCCTTGTGGATTCACGTTTCCCAGTGTTTAGAATTAAATTATGCATCATTGGCAGAGATAACACAGATCTGAAGCTGAATTCTTCCTGTTGCATTCTACCTAGTAACATTAAATCGATGACTTGATGAAGGTGGCATGGCAGAGTTTTTTGTGTGTGTGTGTGCAGGGGATCAAACTTGGGACCTTGAGCTTGAGAGGCAGGTGACAGAAACACTGAGCTAAATCACCAGCCCCAGACAGAGTTTTAAGACTGTGCTATAATCTTGGCTCATGGTTTCTGCTCTAAATGCACATTGCAGTTTGATGCCCAGAACTATCATCATCCTCTGAGTCTTTCCTTGGGTATTTAACCACTGAAGAGAGAATTGGTGATAGGGATCTGAGGAGTCCACATGGACTGACAGGTACTTCTTCTTAACCTGTCTTACTCTGCTCTCTGAGGCAGGAGCAAACCCTCATGTCTCCGTAGGAGGAGGACATCTAGTCTCCGTAGGAGGGCTACTAGGTTGCCCAAGCATGGGGCCAGGCCTGGCTGGCAGCTGAACGGGTCAACACAGGAGTCAGTGTCAAGGTTCCCAAGGGGAGGGGAAGCTCTTAGAATTCTTAGTGGAGGCAATGTTTTTGATTTTGTTTGTTTTTCTTGTAGTACTGGGAATTGAACTCAGGATCTTGAGTTTGTGAGGCAAGCACAGTGCCATGGAGCTAAATCCCTGGCCTGAGACAATGGTTTTGAAAAAGAAATGAAATGGATAGAAATTTAGCATTTAAGTTTAAAATGAGGGGCAGATCCTCATGGTATTCTCTGTACATTTCTATTTAATTGGGATATTTCATAAAAGGAAATATTATAGAAGGAAATACAAGCTTCAGATCAATGGCAATAGAAAGCATTTGATCTCTCCTGTTTTCCAGCCCTCCCACTAGGATGCTTCTGTCAGTGAACAGTGGAACCGTTGTGAGTTTCACAGACTCTGCCTCTACCAGCATTTAACTCCTTGGCATGATGGCTTGTTCAGGGCAATCCGGGAGACCAAGAATGGGAGAGCAGAGAAAAGAAGGAGAGGGGTCAGGAGAAGAAAGCAGACAAGTCACCTTGAGTTCGCCCAGGGCCACCTATTTTTTAAACTTGGTCAGTCACTTACTATCTGGGTGGCCTTGAGTAAGTTCCCTGGTATCTGCTTCCATTTCCTCTTTTGTAAAATGTGAGTTATAAGGGTTGGATTCACTAAGTTTACCCATAGGAAAAACACTTCAAAGTGTTTGGGGCATAATAAAATCAGGACTTGTTGGTTACTATAATTATTTTTATCTTTGTATCCTCAATGTTAGCAGAGTTTGTGGCATTTAACAAACCTCTGGACAGATAAAAGAAGTGAAAAAAAAAAAGTTGTACCACACTGCAGTGATGTCTGTTCCTGACTGAACACAGGCTTTAAATTCAAGCATGCCTAGAGTCTGCCTGCAATGAGCCCAGGAAAAGCATGGGTTTAGAAAAGCTTTGGTGAAAAAGGGCTCACAGGAAGTGAGTTCCACAGCACTGAAAAGGCAGCATCCTTTGGTCATCTCATCACGTGATTCAGCTTCAATATTTGGAGTTGAAAGGATACTCCTTCAAATAAGACATGCTGCAAAAGCAGGCAGAGAGACAAAATGACAAACATGCAACAGATGTGGTCTACTTGACATTCCTCTCTGGTTCACTCTGCCATCTTCATGCTCCTTCAACCTCTTCCCACACTTAAAGACTGAGCTCACAAGAAGGGACTCACACCCTGACCTTCCCTCCATCTGGCAGGATGGATGTTTGGGAAAGGAGAGGAGGCGACTAAGTAGTGACCATGGCATCAAAATAAGCTCATAATATTGCAAGTTAAGAAACAGCCCTGCAATTGATGCTTGGTTGTTGTTGTGGGTAATAAATACAGGCAAAAGGCATAGGATCCTGGTACCTTCTGCCACATAAGTTTACTTCTGAGCTCACCAATCTACAACTATTGAACTGTATGATGTTCTCTCTTAAATATCCAGCAATCATCACAAACATGCTCAAGCCAAAACCCTGATTTCTTCTCCTCGATGGCAGTTCTATTCTTGTGCTACACAGGCAAAAACAAAAGCCAAACACACAAAATCTCAGTGTCATCGTTAATTTGTCAACAAATTCAACTGACTCTATTTCCCCAGTGTGTCAAGAATCTGATTATTCCTCACCTCATCCACTCACCCACCCAGGTCTGCTCACTCTCATCTCCTGGATCAATGTAATAGTCTCCCTGTAGTCATTCACCCAGAAGTCAGTGTGGTTCTTTGAGAACATAAGTCATTATGCCCTCACTCTGCTCAGAATCCTTTGATGACTTCTGAGCCAATTCAGAGCTAAAATTAACGTTTCTCCCATGGTCTGCACCATTCTGCATACTCAGAGTCTTTGATACCTCTCTCTAACCTAATTTCTTCCTAATGTTGTCCTTGTTCATTCTCCTCCAGCCTCATTGGCCACCTCACTCAAATCTTCTAAACACTCCACCTCAGGGCCACTGTCCTGCCTGCTATCACTGCCAAGAACGCTCTTCCCTTAAACAGCCACAGAGTGCATTGTTCATCTCCTTGGGGTCTCTGCTCAACTTACACTTTAGCATCAAAACCTCTCTCAGCCCATACAGAGTACCATCCTTACCAGGCCCCACTACTTCATATCTTCTTCCTATTCTTCTCATTTTATTTTTCTGCCCAGTATTTGTTGCTATTTCACATATATTTTGAGGTATGTTTCCCCTGCTAGAATGTAAGTGTGTGGAAGCAGGAACTTTGTACAATGTGATATCCCAAGCTCCTACAGAGTGTCCAGCACATAGCAGATTAATTGTGGAGGGAATGAATGAATGTTTCTGCCTCCCACATAGTGTTCCAGCTCTGCACCCAGAAGTTCAACAGGCAGCATTTAAGAAAGTGTCTTTCCTTATGACAATTACCCTAGGACTCCAGCATTCATTTTCAAAACAACCAGAAAATAGCATTTGAAGAAAAAAGCCAGATGTTTTCCAATCCTTCAAACTAACCCTACACCACTATGAAAAGACCCCCTATGATCCTCCTGGTTCATCCTAAGCCACTTACCCAGGTATAATACAGCACCTCCAGTTTCTGTTGAAACTGAGGATGGCTGCCATCTCCTCATCACTCAATTCGAAGTCAAAGACCTGGAAAGGTGAGTTCAAAAAACATCCTTGGCAATGCATTTCCTGGTTGGAATTGTGCCATCTGGGCATGGAGTAAGTCTCCATCCACAGTATGGACAAACTTTTTTCCCATTGTGTCCACTGGATACAAACTGGTCTCTCAAGAACATCCTGCACAAGACAGTATCATCTTCTAGCATTGTTGATTGGTCATACACTCCTCCCCGCTTGTCAACTCCTAGGCTAATGGAGATGAGATGAACAACTTGCAGGCCAGTAATAGAGGCCTTCAGTGTGCACAGTGCCTGTGTTCCCTAAAGGCTACATGGATTCTTCCAGAAGAACTGTTCTTCAAGTATAGCCCCTTGTTCATTCTTCTCCAGCCTTCTGCTGCTGGAAGGATTTGTAGGACATCATGGTCTGCTCTTTTGTGTAGCCTATGATCTAACTGCTGAAGGGCAACCCAGGGTCTTCTCAGTGTTACGAGATGCTGCTGTGCTCAGATCTGATAGGGCTTCTCTGTGTTCATATTCCTCAGCTCTTCTGAGGGCAGTTCCCTGGCCAAAGAGCTGACAACATGAGGGGCTCTTCCTCATGGCAGGACCTACCCATGGACAATGCAGGAATGGGCTAAGCAACCCTGTCCTCTACTCCCCTGAGGAACACCAGATGACCAGCCAGGGTCTTACCTGAAAGTTCTCAATAATGTGCTTAGGGGTCGAAGACTTGGGAATCACTGCCACATTCCTCTGGATATGGAACCGGATCAGAACCTGTATAGAGAGGGGGCACTGTGTTCCCAGTCAAGTACAAGGACCCCTCCTAATGAAAGGTGAAATAAACTATCTCTGTATCTCACTGTGGCATTAGGTTCAACAGCAAATAGTGACTGAGCACTTCCCTTTAGAGACACTTGCCACTTCCTCTTATTTCCTCTACACTGAGTTTCAATGCTATGGTTTTTCTTTTTTAGGTATGAGAGAGATGGCTTGCAGTCATAAGACTGAGACATGGTACAGTTGGTACCAGAACCCAAATCCCTGTCTTGTGGCTTCCTGGAGAGCTCGGCAGGGAGCTGATGGACAGAGGCTCTCCTGCTTCACTGATACACTTTCCATTTCCTGGAAATCCCAACAGATTTCAAGGAAACACTTTAGTTAACTTCACTTCATAGTTTTTCCCTCTAAGTATAAAGAAAATGAAGATAACACAAGGAATAAAATACAAGACTGATAGAATATATTGCTGGATTGAAAAATAAAACCAAACCATGCTGTACCTGGGCTGTGGTTTTTTTGTGCTTTACAGCAATCTCCTTAATCTTGGGATCTTTCAGAAGTGAAGGGTCCTCTGGCTTGGCCCTAGAGGCAAATGGTGGTGTGAGTAAGCACCATGGTCACTAAGGCAAACTCACTCCCATGACAGTCTCATATTTAAAGGACACAATGTTCTTTGCCTATGACATACACAGGAGGACCTCACTACAATGTGGTCTTCTTATGGGAAGGTTCATGAGCACAGGAGAGTGAGCATTTTGTAAAGCTTGGTCCAGAAGCAGGGTCAAAACTGGAGCATTCTCAAAGGGGGTTAGGTATGGTGTCTTTCTCATTTTTAAATTGCCATTTTCCTAATATAATTCTATCTGGATGTGCCAAGTATACTGCCTTAGACAATGCTTTTCTTTCTGGTGCCTTATTGATTCAACATTAACCAATCGCAAAATAATATTTTAAGTACATCAGGAGAAAGAAATACCACTGAGAAGCCTCACCAAGGTCTATCTGGAGAGCCCAGAGGACTGTAGGCAGTGACAGTGATGCCCTTGGAGTGGCAGTACTGAATCAGTTTGTCCTGGGTGAGGTATGGATGACACTCCACCTGCAAGAATGAACAATCTGCATCAGTAGGATGTGGCTGATTTTGGGGGGACTTGAAGGGAGTCCTACATGCAAAAAAGACAAACAAGCACAGACGAAATGCTGCCCATTGATTGACTTGGTAAATTAGACCTGGAGATCTGTCTCCCACTTCCCCAAAGCATCATGATCATTGAGCCCTGAGATGAGACTCAGTACCCTGAAGTGACCTTGTCTTCAAACACTTTAGCATTTACCTGGTTAGTCACTGGTTTATATTTCAGTCCAGGCTTGTTCAAAAGCTTTTCGATCTGGAAGTGGTTGAAGTTGGAGACACCAAGGGCTTTCACCCTCCCCTCGTCCACCAGTTCCTCCATGACCTGTCATAGAAAGGAACACCTTCTAAGAAGCCTTGGGGGAGATTACAGAGAAATCATCACAGAAAAATTTCCATGTCTTAACATAATTTTGAACCCAAATAATGTGAACCAGTCTATTATTTGAGCTAAGCAGTGGGGGCACTCAGGATCCCTGATGTGTGGCTATGTGTTCATTGTTTGCCAGGCGGGTGCTAAGGGCCTTAGTAGTTGTACTTGTGAGTCAGAGATACCTAGCACCTGTGTCCAGTCCCAGCTGGTCTACACAGTAGCTTCATAACATGACAAGTCACCAACTTTTCTAGGTGTCAGTTTTATCATCTGTAAATGGGAACGCAATATCCCCTCTATGGTTAGATGATTAAATAGCCTCTATGATTCAAGTTCTCAACGTGTTAGCTATGTTAATCTTTAGCACATCCTGAAGAAAATGTATTATTAGTATGTATTATAAGATTTACTTTCAGATGAGGGAACTGAACTGAGGACTACAGAAATAAATGACTTATCTCAGGTTACTTAGCCTAGGCCCAGTGTCTCCCCATGGTTTCAAAACAGTATCTGTATCCTCCAATTGGGATACATTATATTTCTAGTCTTGTCTGTCCTAGTCTTCAAAATGTAAATAATACCAGGCAGACCACAGTTCCAAAGGTCCTGAGAACAGAGAAGAACTAGAGAATAAGAGTGATGAAACCAGACAAAAATCTTATGGGCTTTTTCATACCAGGATGAGTTTTGAGGGTCACTGGAAGAAAATTTTCTCTCCAAGCACACTTATAAGTAGCTGGCACCTACCTCCCAGGCATCCAAGAATGTTGCTTCACTGGGGAGGATATTGCCTTTATCGTCTCTGGGGATGAATTCCTTCCCAGCCTGTAAATGCAGAACCATCAGCTTATTGGAGTCTCCATCTGGTTACCAGGTGCTGTTGAACAAGGCTTCAGGATCCTGACTTGTATACTAAATGCTCACTTCACAAACTGTTTTGACAGGCTGTGTAGAACACAGTTCAAGGCAATGAGCATCAGTAAAATCTCTATAACATCTGTCTTGGTATCTAAATATTTCCATTTTAGAATCAGCTGAATTGACTTTAAAGTGCATTGTTAGCATATTCTAGAAGTCATCATTATTGTAACAGATGTTAATGTCATATACTTAGGTCCTATATAAATTTGGGGACAAACTTTAATTTCTAAGCCTCAAGATAAGGGTTAGATCCCAAAGGTTGTTGGTTTTTTTTTTTCTTTTTTGGTACTGGGGATTGAACTCTGGTCCTTGTGCTTGTAAGGCAGGTCACTGAACCGCTGAGCTAAATCCTCGGCCCAAAGGTTGTGTTTGAGGGATGTTATTAACCAACTTTTATCCTTGCAGCTTCTAGAAGCTCAGACTAACTGTCATAAGGGGACAGGACTGGAAATTTATGTCCCTTTCACTGCTCAGGAGCAGGTAAGGAGCAGAATCCCAGGCAATTAATTTGATATTTTTTCAGGGAGGCCTGGCTACCATCCAGCCTCAGTCACCTGTGGGTTTTCACTGAAAGGCCACTTTCAGGGTGAGCTTGGTTAACAGGAGGGTTGAGCTCTGAAACAATGTTATAAGATAGGATCCACAGTTCCCCTGGAAGGGACCACTGGACATGGAATTATGACAAATGTGATACAGATGTATCCATACGAAGACAGGCAGACTCAGGCTCCCTCTTAAGACCAGGGTCTTGCTGCTCTGCACAGGAGCTCTTGCTTACCCCACCCCACTCCACATCCCCGCACTGGCACAGATGCTATATTATGCCATCTTTTGGCTCAGCAGCCCAAGATTGGAGCAGCGAGTGACTCAAACCTGAAGTCCCTGTGGAAAGTGAATGAGGTAGATGTCCAGGTAGTCCAGTTTCAGGTCCTCCAGGGTCTTCTGACAGGCCTCCTTCACTAGGCTTCTCTCAAAGAATGTGCACCACAACTGCAGAGTACAACAGAGGCATTGGGACAGGAGAGAGAAAGGGTCACAAGCACTATCCCAACCTGCTTGGAGAGCTGCAGCCTGATCTAACCTGATAACAGGCCATTGATGATGAAGTTCATCATGGTTTATGATGCAATATGACAGGCAACTGGTGCTCAGTGTGTCACTGATGTTTGTAAGGCAATTTACATTTTGAATGCTCTTAGTATCCCTTTTCTTCTATCATTTAGTGTATGAGGCCACTGAGAAAATATTTATGCACTTGCTTTATTCCTTTCTTTGGTTTCCAGCTCTCTGAGAGAGCTTGTGTATATAGCTTTTACATTTCAAGCATTCTTATGCTACTGGGAACAGATAGCCCTTTCATGCACCCTCAATATACCATGGCTACCAGTCTCCAAGTGATGGCTTTACAAGGAGTTTATCCAGATGCAGCGACTGCACACTTGTCCCACCAGATGTGCTTTCCAAGTTAGTAAATTCTCAACCATTGAATGAGCTCCATTCCTGTAGAGCATTCATAAGCTGATTTGCTCATAATCTAATAAAGTGCATCTCTTGCAGTACATCTATAAATCTTCTACTGCACACTTGTAAATCTTATGCAATACACCTGTAAAAATTCATAACTTGAATGTTCGTTAAGTTAGGGATTTACTGTAGTTAAAACCACCATCTTTTAGTGAGTTGTCTATAACACAGATCCAGTGATTCTCAACTGCCTTACACATACTGAACTCTCTCATGTCAGCATTCCTTCTTCATTCTTTAATCTTATTTTATAACCAACCTTTTACAGAACTGAAAAAAATCCATATGTGACAATGAAAGCTGCTTCCATAATTTTATAAATATACATGGCTGAGACCTCAGTGTTGTGGCCACTGAGATCACAGTGTTGAAAGGTGAACTCAGGACCCATTCCTGATTGCATCCTTTGTCTCTGACTGTAAGGAAAGTTAAAACTTTAAGTTGGAAAGGCTTGGGTTAAGGCTTTCGGCTCTCTAAGGTTCTCTAAGGTAATCACTAGTTCACCTCTTCCCTGGATCCCTGGCCAGTTCCCTGGGAAAAAACAGGGAGGACCTTGTTAAAAAGACCAGATGTTCTTAACATCAAGATAAGGAATGTGATGCATTCCGCCCCTCCCGGACCCCTGGCCAGGGCCCGGTTGGGACGCAACTGCAAGCACATTCACCTTTTTTGCTCCAAAAGTACAGATAGATTTACTGCCTTTGTCTAGAGAGCTATATAAACAGCCCACCTAGCCCAGGCTGCTGCTGCTGTCTTATGCCCAGGATTGAGACTTGTAGCTGAAGGGACTGCTGAAAAGACCCGTGCTGTGTTGCGAGTGATGCACCTAATTCCTCCAACATTCCGGTGTTGTTGCCAGAGAGCCTAAGGGTAATTTCCCGGATAGAGTCCCTCTTGCTGTTAGAGGACTCTCCTCTTTCTTTGTCCTCTCCATTCTTACTTTTGTTTTCTGTATGCCCATATCCTTCAATAAACTTACCCTTTTGTACTTATTTAAGGCTGGTGGACATTCTTTTAGCGGATCGAGCCAAATTAATTAGGAGATCGTGCACGGCAAAGGGCAATAAATAAAATTTGTCCTTACACTGACTGCCAGGGCACAGATGGAGCCCACTGTTAAAACACGGGAGGGCCAAGGACACCAGAGGCTCAGTGGAGCCATCCCCACTATGGGAGCCAACTGTAGACAACATGGGAGCGACAGTATCTTCCACATATCAAGCTTGAGCATGGATGTTTGTATTCAGGCATGGGATAAAGGGAGAATTATGGGCAGACAGGGAAGGCTTGGTATCAAACATGTCCAGGTACATCTGCCTGCTGTGAAATCAAGGCTTCCTCCATTGTGGGGCGCATGTACCTTGCTAACAATGAAGAGGTCCTCCCGCCTCACAGCCTTCTCTTGGATCTTCTCCTGGATGGCTTCTCCCACTTCATTCTCATTTTGATAGGTGTAGGCACAGTCAATATGGCGATATCCTGCATCGATGGCCGCCTTCACGGCTTCTTTGACTTTGCCTAGAGGAGACTGAAAAGCCACAGATAAACCCATCAGATGCTCTTATTCCAAGACCCCTCCATCAGGGTGGTGCAGCCCCCTGTCTCCAAACTGAGGCTCACTGGGGTCCCATTTGCAAGTGGACACCTGGGAGGCAAACACTTTGAAAAACTTTTCAAAAGAAAAGAAAGATAAATTAAAGTTATGCATATGACTTCATGTCCTATCCTAAAGTCAGTTTCCTCTAATCCAGGCAAACATTCAATGTCTCCCATTGATCAGAAGTGACAGATGGTTCCCACTGCAACTCGCTAAAGGCCAGGCTGAAAGCTAGAAGCTGGAGCAGCCCAGTGTTACTTTCAGATCCTGGAAGGTGTTAAGGATGTGAGTTCTTTACAGGATGTAAGTTCTACCACCTAGCAGATACACAGTCCTGAGCAGATTCCTCCATCTCTCCAAACCTTGCCCACAAAATAGGATCAATAAGAGCCCGGGCCTCAAGAGATCCTTATGTTGCTTACTTGCTACAATGAATATATAGCGTTTTCCATGTCACCTGAAACTCAGTAAAGCTCAGTAAATGCAATTACTATATAATTATTTTTTCAGAAAAAGGATAGAAAAGCCTGACAAGTGCGAGGTTCTGAGTTCAATTCCTGGTTAAAAAAAAAAAAAGAATGGATTGTTTTACCACCCTCAAGGGTGAAAAAAGAAAGCCACATTTTGCTCTAACCTTGCCAAACCAATAAGAAAAGAAATAATGCATGCCTGTAATCCCAGTGCTCTGGGAGACTGTGTGAGACTTGAATGAACTAAAGTGACTCCATGCTAAAAGGCCAGAGTCTGTGCTTCTTTATATGCTAATTGCTAATTTGGTTAACAGCTCACCCAGGAACAAATGGTATTACAAAAGGTGACCATAGAACATTTCCTACATAAGATAAGCAGTGTGTTTGGAATCTTGTCCTCTGGCAGTTCTGTGAATATACTTTTTGTTTATTAAAACCTTATAAAAAGGACCTCAGCCCCTGAGCAGTTGCCTCTCTGAGCTACTTGGCTCTGGCCAGACTAATAAAGGTCTATTTACAATCTAGCCTGGTGTGTTCCTTCCTGGCCAGACTGATAAAGGTCTGTTTACCATCTAGCCTGGCATGTTCCTTCCTGGGTGACTCTCATTCTTCCGTCAAGCTCCTGGAGCCTCACTGAGCTATAGGTCCCAGCATCATGAAGGCCTTTTCGGCTGTTCATGGCTTCCAGAAGTAAGGCCCTGGGTCTTGCGTCCGGAGCCCTCATTGGGCTATAGGACTCAGCATCGTGAACACCTCTTGGCTGTTCATGCTCCATGGAGTGGAAGTGAGACTTTAGGTCTTACAGCTAAGGCAGGAGAACTGCAAATTTGAGTACAACCTGGGCAACTCTACCTCAAAATAAAAAAGCAAGGGCTGCAGATTTAGCTCAGTGGTGCCACTGCCTGCCTCACAAGCACAAGTTCCTGAGTTTGATCCCCAGTACCCACAAGAAAAACAACAAGAACAAAATTCTACCAAGTCAAAAACAACAACAACAACAACAAAACAGAGCTGAAGGTACAGTAGCTCAGTGTGAAGGCCCTGGGTTCAATCTTCAATATGATCAAAGATTGGCACAAAACAAAACTAACGAAACACACACACACATACAAACTCACAAAAATTTTAATCTATTATGAAGTAATAAACATCTCAAAGAGCATAAAACAAAGCTGGCTGTGGAGGCACATACCTATAATCCTGGCACTCAGGAATTCAGGAGGCTGAGACAGGAGGATCGTTGTGAGTTCAAGGCCAGCCTGGGCTACATAGCAAAGCCTTGTCTCAAAAAACAAAAACAAACAAATAAAAAGATGCACAGGTACACCAACACTAGGATGAGAAACTGTGTGCAGCCCAGAAGCACTCTGGGATCCCCCTATCCACGACACCCTCTTTCCCCTCTACAATACATATATAGTCCTTTAAATTGTACAATCCTGTTATCTTGAAAATAGCTCACTTACAGCCTGCACATCTACTTTTGAAATTCTGAAAAATTAATTTCTGCAAAATGTATCCACCATGAGCATATTCATTAGCAATCTGGAAGTAGTAATTATTTGTCATGTGTATGGTTTTAAAGTTCTGAAATCTTGATATTTAAGAAGAGAGGCTGAGACTGAATGAATTGAGCATGGATTTGCTCACTCAGAAGAACCAAGAATGAATTCCTAGACTACAGAAACTCTGTGCTGAAACAAAGAGGGGTCCTACCCCCACAGGGGAGGAGATGAGAAAGTCAGTGCAGAGGAGGAAAGAGGAAGAAGACACAATTCACAGAAGAGGCCCCGGAGAAGAGAGAAGGTGAGATACAAAAAAAAAAAAACAACAACAAAAAACAGTTCCTGGAAACTTATCATTGAAGCTGAGGAATCTGCTTCACAGGGTGCTGGCTGTGCATGTAGGGTATTTGCCAGTTGATATAAACACAGCCAGAGCTTGCTCAGAGTTCCCGATGCCCTGCCCAGGCTCTCTTGGCCCCAGCAGTCTCACACTTTATCATGTATGGGAATCACATGGAGATGTAAGTGCAAATGTTGATTCTGTAGCATGGGCTAAGTCTGAGAGTCTGCATTTTTAGCAAACAACCTGTCCACTCTGATGCTGCCAGTCCAATTCTCACAGTGTAGGCAGCAAGCTCTGCATCTTCTCTTAGCCACTCTACCAGCTGCAAACCCATGGCCAAGACTTGTAACGTACTGAGCTCCCCTAGACCACACTAAACTCTAAAGTAAGGCAGAGGAACTTTCCACCCCCAGGGGACTAATAAGGATCTTGCAGGATGAATCTGAATGCTATCACATTGCAGATGTTCTGGTATGACCAGATTCCTCTATCTTCTCAGAATTTACACCAGGAAGTGTTTTAGAGGAAATGGTTGCTAAGAGAGTAAGTTCCCAGAAAATTAATTTTTGAAAAAGCTCAAGCCTTGCTTGAAACTTGAAACTTGCTGGAAAAGCTCAGTGCTGCTAGGAAAGGCCACGTCTGGAGCTTTCTGTGGAGCAGCCCTGAGAACAGAAAATAACTTGCATCCTAGTTCTAGGGCTGAATCTCATTTCTCTAACCCCCCCGCAGTGAAGAAAACAGATCCAAAAGCCCCTCTAGGGAAGTCGGGGCCCCTAGATTTGCATATTTACCTTCCAAGTGCCTAGGCCCACAATGGGCATCTTGGCTTTGGTGCTGAGCTCCACAAACGTCGCCATAGTTGGTGCAGAAATGGTTGTGAGCAAGCAGAGAAATGTCTCGTGTCCTTGTTGACAGGCTGGCTCTAGCTGGGCGGGGAGGAGCCTGAGCCTGAAGGCAGGCACTCCAGGAGGAAATTCACTTCAGTCTTTTGTGAGACTGCTTATAGTGAATAAGAATTAGAGATAAATCAGTACAAACTCTCCTCACTGTAAAACACATGAGTTACTCTGTGAGTGACACTTGGCAGTTTGTCCATCTAAATAACAGGCAGGTCAAGAATCCCCAAGATGAGGTTTATGTGAGAATGAGCATTGCAGGGAGGACCTGCATGTCTCTTTGTGGGTATTCAAAGAGGCTGAGACCAGGAAGTTTCCTGGGGCAAATAAGAAGAATCATTTAAATTATTCTGAGACAATAATCCATGGCTATAAGTATTATAGACAGGTGAGTTAGGTAGAAATATTATAGACAGTCAGGGCAAAGGTGAAACACACTAAAGCACATGTCAGTTGGAAACAGGGCCTTGAGATAAAGAGAACAACCAGACCCACAAATTTTCTCAAAAAACAAACACTGGGCTTAATGAAATCTAGATAGACTTCAGCTACTCTGGTGGGTGACCAGAGACCTCTGGACTCACCACTTCCTATGAAAATATTTGTTCTCTCCGCCCACATTTGTTCTGAGACTTATTTCCCAATGACTATGTTTATAAACTTACTGGATGATCATGGCTGTGGCCCATGTTGTACCCATGTGGGTTTCACTCTATAAAATTCTTCTATAAAGTGAGGTCCCCATCTACTCACCAGGTGTAAGACCTGAGTGAGCTAAAGTGACTCCAGGTTAATAGGCCAGAGACTGTGCTTCTTCATATGCTAATTGCTAACTTGGTTAAGAGCCTGCCCAGGGACAAATGGTATGACAAAAGTGACCATAGAACATTTCTTGCATAAGATAAGCAGTGTGCTTGGAATCTTGTCCTCTGGTAGTTCTGTGAATGCCCTTTTTGTTTAGAAAAACCCTATAAAAAGGACCTCAGCTGCTGAGCAGTTTCCTCTCTGAGCTACTCGGCTCCAGGAGTGCCGTCTGGCCAGATTAATAAAGGTCTGTTTACCATCTAGCCTGGTGTGTTCCTTCCTGGGTGACTCTTGTTCCTCTGTCAAGCTCCCAGAGCCTTCCTGAGCTATAGATCCCAGCATCGTGGAGGCCCTTTGGCTTCATGGCTTTGGGAAGTAAGGCCCTGGGTCTTGCTTCCAGAGCCATCATTGGGTTATGGGACTCAGCATCGTGGAGGCCTGTTGGCTGTTCATGCTCCATGAAGTGGAAGTGACACTTTAGGCCTTACACTGGGACCCCTCTTGCACCTCAGGAGCTTTCCTATCAATAAATATCTTCATACTCTTAACCTCTTTTGTTTCTAGAACTCATTTTTTGATTTTTAGAGAACAAAAGCTCAGTGGGTCATACAGTTAACAGGTTGGGAGACTTAAAATTTCATATTTCATCTCTGGTATTATTTCCTATATGACAAGGACCAGTAACACAGGGGATGTTAGTCCAAGATTAAACAGACAGTTGTAGGGCACATGTCTTTGCAGAAGTACTTTTTGTATAAGATTCTCACAGCCTTTGCACAAGCTTGATTCTGGCATCCTTGTGAATGGCTCTTATCATAAGACATATGTGCATAAAATCCTCCCCTTCATTTGTTCTTACTTTCGTTAGGGCTTAACACAAAAGACTCCATTTTGTTACTAGCAGTGTACACAGATTTTAGTCTAATAATTAGAGAATAAAAGTGCATATTTTAATTTGTACCTATGCGATTGCTGCAAGAGTGTAAAATTTTTCTCTCAGAGAATGGAAATTATTTGTTAACCCTTGGGAAAGATCTTTTATGCTAATATTCTTTATTTATTTCTTTAGGATTCCTGGCTTTGGGTAATTGTGCTTATAATGAACTTTTCAATTTCTTGTACCCATCTTAAACCAAAACATTGTGGTTATAAAGTACTATATATTCATTACAGAAAATATGAAAAATAGTAGAATTTTATAAATATAATAATATAAATCAATTACTTTTATTCCCATCACTCAAATGCCATTGCAAGGCAGGATTTTCCCTCAGCTTTTTTCTCTACATATGTGTGTGTGTGAGTTGTTGAAGGCACTACATTTAGTTTTAAACAACACCACAAAACAAAATTTATATACATTTATAAAACTTTTAAAAATTGCTTTTATACTATTTTCGTGATTATATGATTGCAAAAGATTCTATTTTATGATTACTTATTCTGCATTTCTCCTCTTCTTGCATACTTAATTTCCACTTGTTCCTATTATGTTACATTGTTGTAAGTGAGGCATTGCACAGTTTTGCTAATTTCCTAGGGATCCTGGGTTAGATATCCAGAAGTGGGACTTTTGGTCAAAGGAAATTTATTTTTAGTTTACATGTGACATGTGGATCCAAAATGATTGTTTTTCCCAAATGGAAAAATATTCCATTGCTATTGTTGGAATAACGTATTCTCATCCCCTTATAATTTTTAATAATTATTTTAAAAGTGCTTGCAACTTTTACTTTATTAATATTAAAAGCAATGTATGCTTTTTGCAAGAAGGAAAAAAATGCAGAGAAAAACCCAGGAAAAGTTCTTCCTGGGTGAGAAAGTAGAAGTAATTTGTATGCCCACATTGAAAGATGATCATTGTTAATGGCATAGGGGTACACCTGGGGCTATCCAGTTGAGTAGGAAGGTCAAAAGAGCTATGCTCAACTTCTCAGGGTGAGACTTGGCAAAGCCATCCAGCCTGGGTTGGAAACTCTGGATTTAAAACAATAACAGTGACAGCAGGGCTATCTATGTGTATGGACCAAGGGTAGCCTCCAGGTATTCCAGGAGCCTCAGTGCAGTGTTGGTGGATAAGCCCAATTGTCCATGTCTGCTGGGGAAGCTGACTAAAAGGAAGAGAGCTGGCTATATATCTCATAGTTGGGACTGTAATGTGTGTAAAACCTACTGTTCATAGGTCAGGGAGTGGCTTCTTGGCTAAGGATCTGATGGTGCTATGGACACCCCCAGCACTTGGGGGTGACCACAGTTAAGGGCCAGATATATAGGTTATACTGTAGGAAAACTCAAACTGCAGGTAGAGGTCACAGTCTGGCCCAACTCCAACACTATATTTCACATGTCTCCTTGAGCCCTACTTACATGTAGAGAAGAAATCCAATCAGAGTGAGTTTTAATCCTGAAAGAAATATAAAGTCAAAATGAAATAATGGAGAAGGCAAATGTTATGGCTTGGGTCTGCATATCCCCCTCATGTGGTCTATTGGAGCTTTTCAGAGTTGGCTGAATCTAGAGTGTATGATGGCAGGATCAAGGATGCAAGGCTGGGACTAAGGGTATGGGTGCTACTTGCCCTACTGTCAGTAGCTTGGATAAGATATAAAGCACAGAAAGACACTTGTCACCTGTAGTTTGCTGCTTTCTGCTTGTCACCAACTTCTCTTCTGCCTGCCTGTCATGCCATCCTGCTTTGCAGCCAGCCAAATATTGACTGAAATGTCCGCAGACTGAGCTAAATAAACCTTTCTCCTTTTGACTGTGGGTGTTGGGTGTTTTGTCTCAGCAATGAGGAAAGTAAGGCAGCAATGTTCAGTGAAGTTGAAGAGCTGTGTCTATACTAAAGATTTTTAAGTCTGTTTGACCTTGGCTGATAGAACATTTTGATTGTGAATAGAGGGAACATTGTAGATCACAATCAGAATTATCTAGGGCTATCTTTAGCTCCTTAGCAGCCATTTAATAACATCAACCCCTGTATCTGATGGAACATGGCAAAAGAAGTGACTTCTAGATAAAATTCCTGGAATGTATCACTCAACTTGATGTGCCTCCAAGCCTCCATCTCTAAGCCTGAGAATGAATTCTGAATCCTATAGAAGAAATTTCCTTGCTCTCCTGTAGTTGACCTACCTGATATTCTCATGGATGCTGTTGGTAAATATATTGATTTAAGACTTTCTTTTGTGATCAAAAAATTGATTTAATCTCTACCATGATGCCATTTAGGATAACTTGAATTCCTGTTCCCTGGTGATAGTCTTTTTCTTTTCTTTGCTTAGAATCTTATTTCCTTTATAGCAGAGTTGTTACCTTGACAGCTGGAAGTGTAACCAAAAATTTTCAGAAGTATAAATCTTCTGGAAGCAATGTTCCAGACCATTTTTTCTTTATGCCCTCAATGGTTAACTTTAATTTTATTTATTAAGAAAAATTTTAGCTAGGTATAGTTGTTCATGCCTGTAGTCCTAGCACTTGATAGGAGGATCGCTGTGATTTTGAGGCTAGTCTGGGTTACATAGTGACCTCAAGGCCAGCCTGAACTACATAGTGAGACCCTGTCTCAAAAGAAAAAAAATTTTATAATGAACTGAGAAATCTGACTTGGAATTTATCTCCAGGATAAACGGGATGCAAGGACAGACTTACTCAGGTTAAACAAAAGAAATGAAGTAGCCTTAGATGAGCCCAAGGGTGATAGTGAGTCTACTATACTCTTTTATGGTACTGTGAAAGTTGGTGATTCTAGAATGAAATTGTCCTTGTGAGTCCTAGACAACTGGATGTGGGAAGTAATGAAAAGGAAGGGCACATTCTGCTTGTATGAGATAAATGCTATCCAAAGTCTCACAAGGAATTTCTTTTTGTTCTACATACAACCCAAATTTTTAAGTCTCATATATGCAGATTTCTGTAACAAAGCTTATATTTGACATTCCTAAACTGTAACAGTCCAGTCTATGCACTTTAAACAGAAGGCCCACCCAGCAATGGCGCCTCCACCAATGCCTTCAACTCCAGATTTGGGACTCCAAGACCAAGGGACTCTACCCAAATAACTCATGTAAATTTTTCATATTTATTTTATCTTTAAAAATTTCTTGATAATGTGAAATAGGAAGGAAGGTCTGAAAGAGTAGGGGAAATGGAAAGGGTAGGGGAAAGGAAAGAAGGGAAAAGAAAAAAATATGAGAAAAGGGAAAAATGGAAACAAAGTCTTTGTAAATAGGGAAGGATGGAGGAGGTGAAGGGAGGGCAGGGATATGGGGGAAAATAAGAACCAAGATCTGTCATGTAAAGGTACAAGACCCTAATGATGAATGTAACTGTACTGTATACCTAAA